CTGCTGAGGCTGTGGCCCCTGCTCTGCCCCGGGGGCTTTGGCCCCGTCTCCCTGCCCCTCATGGCACCCCCAGTCTGGCAGTGCAGAGAGGTCAGGCTGCCACCCCACCCACCTGCCAGGGCCCGGGCGGGGCCGAGAGCTCCCCGAGGGAGCGGCAGCGCCCACTGCTCTTGGGTTCCCGTCCTTGCAGTGGGGCACGTGGTGCCCGGTGCGGGGTCGCTGTCGGAAGCATTAAATGGCGTCAGCGAGGGGCACGCAGGGCCCACGGCACCCCAGGCTGGCTGGCGGGTGCCGAGCGGTCCAACCAGGCGGTGGGCGGGGCCGCGCTGCTTGCTGGCGGCATTTTCCAGGGGGGTTTGCTGTTGTGCTGGCGCCGTGTGTGGGTCTCAGGGTTAGGGGCACATGGACGTCTGTGCTCTTGGGGGTGCCCCCCCCAGCTCTGCCAGGTGCCTGGACTGCGGGGCGGGGCGTCCGCGTGACCGGTCAGGCAGGAGCCGGCAAGCCCGTCGGTGAGCACAGGTCTCCCCACGTGCATGCCCTGCGCTGGCTGCTGCAGGTGGGTCTCGGGGGGTCACGCTGACCCGGGGGCCCGCAGCCCTCCAGCCTCACTGCAGCTGTCTCCCTGCCAGGGACCGGGACTCGGTCCCCAGTTCCCTGCTGGCTCCCACGTGACCTTCCGGGGACCAGGAAATGTCTCTGGGTCTTGGAATTTTTTGTGCACAAAATGGGGACATGGCTCAAAACAAGGACCCATGGAACACAGTCCTGCCCCCTGGCCCCTGCCAAGGCCCAGTCCAGCGGACGCTCCTGGCCGCTGCCACGTGCCCGCTGAGTGAACAGACGGGAGGAGAGCACGCGAGGCCACGTGACGGCGGCGGGGGCACCCGGGGTCTGAGGCTGGAGCCCCCCGCTGCCCCTGCCTTCCTCAAGGTGCTGGTCACCGTGGGGAGGGGCTGGCTGTCCCTGGACAGCCCCAGGACACGCACATGCACCCTCACGTCTACACAGCACACGTGTTTGTGCGCACCCACACGTTCACACCGGGAGGAGAGCACGCGAGGCCACGTGACGGCGGCGGGGGCACCCGGGGTCTGAGGCTGGAGCCCCCCGCTGCCCCTGCCTTCCTCAAGGTGCTGGTCACCGTGGGGAGGGGCTGGCTGTCCCTGGACAGCCCCAGGACACGCACATGCACCCTCACGTCTGCACAGCACACGTGTTCGTGCGCAGCCACACGTTCACACGCCATCAGGGGCCATGCCACCCCACACCTTCCAGCCTGTGCACCCTTGGGCACAGCTGGGCATGTGAAGTTGGTGCCCGCACCCCCACTGGCACCCGCCCGGGCGTCCCCTCGGAGCAAGGCCACGTGGTCCCTGATCTAGGTAAACAAACGAATGTGTCACGTACGCACACACACGGGGTAATTCGCACGTGACTCCCATGCTTGCTGGGGGTGCAGCTGTGCCATGACAAAGGCAGAGTACGGAACAGGTCCGTCCCCCCAAACTCTGCAGCGTGCGCCCCAGTCCCCTGCCCACCGGCATCAGGCACTGCCCTCGAGCCCTCTCCTGCGGCCGGGCCCCGGGTGTGTGCCAGGAGGCACTGCTGGGCACATGTGTGCAGTCTGGAGTGGGCCCTTGTGCAACCCGGCGGGCAGGAGTCGTGTGGGCCGAGGGGTGGACACCTCAGGCCAGGGCCGCTCTGCTGGACACTGCATGGCGGGGCAGGTGTCCATGTCCCACGCACAGGGAACTCTGAAGCTGAGGGAGGACACTGACTTCAGGCCAAGGCCAGACAGCTGTCCCTCTGCAAGGGCCCGGCCGAGGGGGGGGCCTGGCCAGTGCCCATCCACAAACACCTCTGCTGCTGTCTGTCGTGGGGCCTGAATCCAGGCGTCCGGGCCGAGGGGCCTGTGCAGGTGTTTCCCATCTGGCTGGGGCAGCCTCCCTGCTCGTCCTGAGGCTCTGCTGCCACCTGCTGGGCCTGGGGCAGGGCGCAGGCAAGGGCTCCGGGCCTGACCCGCGGGCTCCCCGCTCGGGCTCCTGCTGGGCAGGGTGGCCATAAACAGACAGCCGCTGCAGCTCCCGCTGGTGAGGTGACCTCAGACCAGGGTCTGGGCCTCAGCTTCCTCTTCTGCACAATGGGGACCATAACAGGCTGTGCCTCGAGGTCCTTCTGGGGATCAGACACGATGACGTGTGTCCGGCGCTGGGCAGGGCCATCCGAGCGGTGCTCAGGGTCCTGGCGGCGACCGTCAGTCCCACCTGCTTCACGAAGACGCTGTGCCTCGGGCTGACCCGGGGTCGGCGGCCAGACCTGACCCTGAGGCCCAGGGCCTCCCAGCACTGCCCTCCCTGGGCACAGGGTCAGCAGCCACTCCGGGTGGGGACGCAGTGGTAGCCGCTTCGTCAGAGGATGAGGCCCGCTGCTGCTGCGTGCAGGGGGCCGGGGCTCACGTGTGTCCTGGGGCTGTCCCGTCATCCCACGGGCTCTGAGACGTGGGGGGAGAGGAAGCCGGCCCTATCTGGCACCCCCCGACCCCTGCGTGACACCAGAGGGCAGAGAAAATTACTAGCCCTTTCCTCCGGTGTCGGGAGGGGGCCCCAGGCAGCAGTGGGGGCGGGGGTGCGTGTGAAATGCCAGCTGCTGCCGTTAGGGTCTGGGGCTGCGGGGTCAGCGTGAGCGGTGGCGGCACCCCGGTCCAGACAGCTCGTCCTCCCGTCGTGGACCAGCCCTCGGGGGCACCGCACGGGTGCTCAGTGCCTGAGGCCACAGGCCTGTTCCCGGGGAGCTTGCGCTCGAGCCCGGGGCAGGAGCAGAGGGACAGCCGCGGGGCAGTGCCCCGGGAGCCCGCACGCCCTGGCGGTGACCCCGCAGCTCCGCCCTGGGACGTGCCCTGGGGAGCAGGATGCCGGAGGACGACACGGGCGCCTGGGCATGGCAGAGCCGCTCACCGCAGCGGCACCGGCGTGGTCGATGACGTGGCGTCCCTGGGTCCCTGGGTCCCTGGGCGATGACGCACACTGCCGGTGTGGAGCCGCTCAGTGCCCCTCCCCCGGGCCCAGGGACGCGCGAAGCCACCCGGACGACAGGGCGGGGCACCGTGCTCCCACCCTGCGGTAACGGCCACCGAACTCTGTGCCCTCCGCGGCCCGCACTGGGGCTCGGGGCCTGGCGGTCAGGGCGCCACGGAGGGTCTGGGGCCACGGTGTGGCGTGGGCAAGGCTGGCTCCACCGGCTCCGGCCCTGGGCACGTTCTCGGTCAGGCCGCCCCGCCCCGTGCGCCTTCTCCTTCTGAGGGCCCCTGCCTAGGACACAAGGGTGTCCGGGACGTGCGCCCGAGACCCCCTCACACACAGGTGACGTGCCGGGTGCCGAGGACCCAGCAGAGCACACGTGGGTCCGGACACCCTTCCGCCCCAGGGTGGTCCTGCGGGATGTACTCAAGTCAACGCTCACAGCCCGTGTGCCCGTCACGGCTCCACACGGGAGCCCCGCACCAGGCAGAGGCGCCAGCTGCGGGTGGCCTGGGCCCCAGCACCTGGGGATGTCCGGCCTGGGCCCAGGGAGCTCCTGGTCTGTGCACAGGCGGCCCTGCCGGGTCAGCTGACTCCACGCACGCCCAGCCGCGCCCCTCCCGTGGGGGCCGTGGGGTCCCCCGGGTACCAGAGTCCCCCCGTCATTGCCTTCGGGGCTGGGCTCCGGTCAGCTGACCCCGCCCCCTCCCCCAGGATACCGCGAGGGCTTCCTCTGGAAGCGGGGCAGAGACAGCGGGCAGTTTCTGAGCCGGAAGTTTGTGCTGGCCGAGCGCGAAGGGGCCCTGAAGTACTTCAACAGAAGCGACGTGAGCTGGCCGGGGGGGCGGGGGCTCGGCCGCGGGCATCGTCCTGGCCCTCCGTGTGGGGCTGTGGTGGCTGGACGCTGGCCCCCGGCCAGCAGGGCCAAGTCCTCAGCTTCCCCCACTCCCTTGGGGACAGGGCCCTGGAGACCCTCCCGTCCACTCCTAGGTCACAGCCAC